ATCTCCTCCTGGAGAAGCAAGACCTCCTCCTTCAACTCTCCAACCTCAATTTTTAAAACACTGCAGAAGCAAGCCATGCTTTGTAACCCTCCACACTAATCCCCAAAGCAGCTCAGGGTCTGTGACCTCACGTGACGACTGACCACTGAGTACTCTTACTGTATGTAATCTAGCACCAGCAAGTGGCGCTGGTACACTGACTCTTACTGTATGTAATCTAGCACCAGCAAGTGGCGCTGGTACACTGACCCTTACTGTATGTAATCTAGCACCAGCAAGTGGCGCTGGTACACTCACTCATACTGTATGTACTCTAGCACCAGCAAGTGGCGCTGGTACACTGACCCTTACTGTATGTACTCTAGCACCAGCAAGTGGCGCTGGTACACTGACCCTTACTGTATGTAATCTAGCACCAGCAAGTGGCGCTGGTACACTGACCCTTACTGTATGTAATCTAGCACCAGCAAGTGGCGCTGGTACACTCACTCATACTGTATGTACTCTAGCACCAGCAAGTGGCGCTGGTACACTGACCCTTACTGTATGTAATCTAGCACCAGCAAGTGGCGCTGGTACACTGACCCTTACTGTATGTAATCTAGCACCAGCAAGTGGCGCTGGTACACTCACTCATACTGTATGTACTCTAGCACCAGCAAGTGGCGCTGGTACACTGACCCTTACTGTATGTACTCTAGCACCAGCAAGTGGCGCTGGTACACTGACCCTTACTGTATGTAATCTAGCACCAGCAAGTGGCGCTGGTACACTGACCCTTACTGTATGTACTCTAGCACCAGCAAGTGGCGCTGGTACACTGACCCTTACTGTATGTAATCTAGCACCAGCAAGTGGCGCTGGTACACTCACTCATACTGTATGTACTCTAGCACCAGCAAGTGGCGCTGGTACACTGACCCTTACTGTATGTACTCTAGCATGAGCAAGTGGCGCTGGTACACTGACCCTTACTGTATGTAATCTAGCACCAGCAAGTGGCGCTGGTACACTGACCCTTACTGTATGTACTCTAGCACCAGCAAGTGGCGCTGGTACACTCACTCATACTGTATGTACTCTAGCACCAGCAAGTGGCGCTGGTACACTCACTCATACTCTATGTACTCTAGCACCGGCAAAGTGGCGCTGGTACACTGACCCTTACTGTATGTAATCTAGCACCAGCAAGTGGCGCTGGTACACTCACTCATACTGTATGTACTCTAGCACCAGCAAGTGGCGCTGGTACACTGACCCTTACTGTATGTACTCTAGCACCAGCAAGTGGCGCTGGTACACTGACCCTTACTGTATGTAATCTAGCACCAGCAAGTGGCGCTGGTACACTCACTCATACTGTATGTACTCTAGCACCAGCAAGTGGCGCTGGTACACTCACTCATACTGTATGTACTCTAGCACCAGCAAAGTGGCGCTTGTACACTGACCCTTACTGTATGTACTCTCGCACTATCAAGGAGACGCTGGTACACTGACACTGTATGTACTCTCGCATCATCAAGGAGGCGTTGGTACACTGACTCTTACTGTATGTACTCTCGCAGAACTAAATAACCTTTGCTGTACTCGTGATGTTGATTATAATTACAGTTAATGTACTCGTGATGATTTCTAAATGGCGCTTCATGTCAGATATAATAATAATATTATAAATAGTAAATGTTATTGTTATTCCCCCCCCCAGGGAGGTTCCTTGACGCTGGTGAGGGGCTCTTGATCTAGGGAATTGGATCTATGCTCCAGTTCCCTGAATTGAGCCAGAATACCTTCCATCTCCCCCCCCCTACATTCGCTGTATAATCCGACGGGTTTAGCGCTCCCCATGATCATAATTACAATCTCTCTCTCTCTCTCTCTCTCTCTCTCTCTCTCTCTCTCTCTCTCTCATAATCTTATCTCCTAGTGTTACCTCGGAAATTAAATGTCCAAAATATGAAGTGTGAGGATCTTAAACACACACACACACACACACACACACACACACACACACACACACACACACACACACCTGATGAAAGCCGTGACGAAAGGCTTCGCTAGTCAATATGTCACACATACAACACTGAGAACAACGGCAGGAAAAAACGAAACTGGATCTACCTTCTACACAGTCCTGAGTTTTATCTTACTACTGGAACTCTAGAGCGGCTCACTTCAGAAATAAAGAATAAATAACTTCACAGAAGACGTACACGGTGACCATAACATTGCTTAACACGCTATAAGGATGAGTAAGTCACAACATCACTGAAACATTTCGCCTGTATGTAGCTTATACACGGGCGAGACGTCTCGCTAATGCTCCTCTCTGGAACTGACATTTTCACCCCTTAACAGTCTTTGCGTCATGTGCAGCAACACAGTGGAAATAGGAACTAGAATGAGAGACAATGGACGTGGGGAAAATAATTCCAGCTTTGAAAGGTCCCAAGATAATTCTTCTGCCTAAGTGTGTTCTATAAGTCAGTTTCCCTTCCCTGTGATCCAAGACATAGCAGCAATCTACACTCTTATATAGTATTATTACTTAAATAACAAAAAAGGCACAATACCGTGACTGGAACGATACACAAATAACCCGCACATAAAAGAGAGAAGCTTACGACAACGTTTCGGTCCGACTTGGACCATTGACAAAGTCACACTAACCAGAAGTGGAGCAGGACGACTATATATAGGCAGGAAGAGGTGGTGGTAGAAGTAGTAATAGTAGTACAAGAATGGTATATAATACCGACAAGATGAAATTAAGACAACCCAGGCATCCCTATCGTAGACGTTTCGCCATCCAACCAGCCAGCTCTTAATAATCTTGCCCCTTCCATTAAGTTTAAAGCTGAATGGGAATCTAATTCCTTGCTTCCTTTCCTTGATGTCCATGTCCACCGCTCAGATACAGGTTTTTCCTTTTCCGTTTACCGAAAACCTATGCACAGTGGAATTCACTACTTTTCCTATCATGCTTCCCCTGTCAAGAAAAGTGTTCTTATCTCCCTCTTTCTCCGTGCCCTCCGCATCTGTGATCCTCAGTTCCTTCCAGCAGAAATTTCCACTCTTCATAATTCGTTCTCCCGTCTTGGCTACCCTTCCCATTTCATAGACTCTGCCCTCTCACGTGCTAAACGCAATTTCTTCTCTCCCAAACTCTCTACTCCTGGGAACTCTTCTATCCTCTGCCTTCCCTACATTTCCGGTCTTTCTAATCTCAATTCTCTCCGTCCCTTAGGCATCAAGCTTACCTTCCGCCAGACTAACACTCTTCGCACTAATCTCGTTCATACCGCTCCTCCCTCTACAGATGTTCCTGGTGTCTACTCTATTTCTTGCTCCTCCTTTCCTCTTCAATACTTCGGAGAAACTGGTCGATCTCTTTCTAACAGACTTAGGGAGCACAAAAATAGTGTTAGGCTTACCGACACTAACAATGCTCTTTTCTGTCACGTCAGAGATCATAGTCATCCTATTGACTGGTCTTCTGCTAAAACTGTCTTCCCTACTTCCAACTCGAACAGTCGCCGTCTAGTTGAATCCTCTCTAATACACAACTTTCCTTGTTTGAACCTTAGCCCTGGCTTCGTCTCTGTAGATGCCTTCCTCTCCCACTACATTGTAAAATGTTCCAAACTTCAGAACACCCGCGACTTAACCTGACTCCTCATTTTTTTTCTTTTTCTTTTTCTTTTTCTCCCTCTTCCCCTTTCCTCTTTCCTTTTCTCCTCTGGGTTATCTTTCTCTCTTCTGTCTCGTGTTTCTTTTACTTCTTCTTTATTTCACCACTTCCCCTTTCACGCACCTCTGTGCGCTTGCTCTCCCTCAGTGGGCACCTAGCTCTCTTGCAGTGCTCCCCTTCCTTTGTATTTGACTGGCTCGTCCTCCTTATTTCCCACTTCTAAGAACCACTACCACTACTACTACCTCTTCTACTACTACTACAACTACTGATGAAATTAAGACACATGTTCGGCGTCTGGTTGTCTTTGTTGTGGACGTTTCGCCATCCATGGCGAAACGTCTACGATAGGGATGCCCGGGTGTTCCGCATGTGTCTTAATTTCATCTTAACGGTATTATATACCATTCTTGTACTACTACTACTACTTCCACCACCTTTTCCTGCCTATATATAGCCGTCCTGCTCCACTTCTGGTTAGTGTGACTTTGTCAATGGTCCAAGTCGGACCGAAACGTCGTCGTAAGCTTCTCTCTTTTATGTGCGGGTTATTTGTGTATTACTTAAATCGGGAAGCATAAAGCCCACAGGGGTCATACAACGCCTGGGTAATGTAAGGTGACGAGGCTCCATTCAAGGCAGGGACAATTAGCTGCATTTTTTTTTGAAATCACAGCCTTCAAGCAGCGTCAAGGCACCCTTGAAGGGTGAATGCTCTCTGGTGTGTTTAGGGTGATTCTCTGGGACTCTTCAACTTACAGTGACCTATGGAAATGGTTTCTTGTTGTTGTTATTTATTTTGTAATAATGAAAAGACTTTCAAATGAGTTGAGGTGGGTAACTGCTCTTATTTTGTAAATAAAGGTAGGAACTCTTAATCCAACCCTGTAAAATCGCTGTGTAAATAAAAAATCTAAAATCAAGGGAAGAGAGAGAGAGAGAGAGAGAGAGACTAATCCAAAAGATATCTGTAGCAGCTGATCATTACCAGGGTCTCATAATATACTCTGTGGCGTTATCTTAAAGATTTAGAGACTGGTACATCATTCTCCTCTGGTTGATGGGGGTTGGGGGAGGACCTGACTCGGGTAATGGGTGAACAAGATAACAGAGAGGGTTTATGGAATGCTCGGCAGTGAGGAGGTGTGATAGTAACTCTGTAGGTGCGGAGTCACTCAACCAGACAGTCGCACGAAAATTCTGAAGAAGGATCAAAGTTATATAGAAACACGTCGAGTCAACCTTGCCTTACTAAAATATATTTGGCTTTAAAGAAAAAAAAATCACATTACCATAGCTGGAAAAACTCACTAAAAACTCCTACTTAGGATAGGAATTTTATGAGGACATTTCCACTCATCTTGCACCAGTGTCAGGTCACAGCTGGGTGAGAGCAGGGAGGCGAAAAAGACCACACAGTAAGGGTGCTTTGTTTGTGCAAACAGTAGGAGAGACGAAGTTTGAAGATGCATACAAAAGGAGGTTCCAGCTCCTGAATCTTGCTTAACGATGACACACACATGCGCTTGTGCCTGTGTCGGGCCATCCAGGATTCTCATACCCTCCGAGCCAAGCTTAAGGACAGGCTTACCTGTTGATTGCCTATTCAACCAGGCTGTTGCTGCTAACGGCCCCCTGGCTCACCCAGCCATCATAACCCAGCTGATCTGGCATATAGCGGAGATGGGGGATCCAGTTTCCTCTTTGAAGGACTTCTACGTGTTTTCCAGCCTGCTTCTGGAAAACTTCTTCGCGTGCTGGAAAACTTCACAGGCTTCTGCAAAACTTCCTAGCGTGCTGGAAAGCCGAAAACATGGAAAAGCCATGAAAAAACACCCAAGGATGTAGTTTCTTTTTTTTAGGGGGGGAGGGGGGCAATGTTTCTGATATTCACTGTTACAATGTTGTGTTAAAACTGAGTTCCACAGAGTTGTCAAGAAAATAATAACAAAATGTTAACCAAATAATAACTATATAATTACCGATAAATGAGTGAATAATAAAAAGAAGAATTAATAGCTAAATAACTAATTTTTTTTTAAATAATCAATTATTAAAAATGAAATGTTTAGGAAGGGCAATTATTATTATTATTATCAGGGGAGTGCTAAACCCGTAGGGATTATACAGCATCTGTGTGGGGGGGGGGGAGATGGAAGTCATTTAGGCTTAATTCAGGGAACTGGAGCACAGATCCAATTCCCTTGATCAAGAGCCCCTCACCAGTGTCAAGGAACGTCCCTTGAGGGGTTAGGAAGTGTAAGTGTCTGAGGGCAAATTAGGCGTTGTGGAGGGACGAGATAGGCCTATGGTTGGAAAAGTTTTCGTTGTCAGGCCATCTTAAAAATTTTGAATGCCCTTCACCATTTTTTCTGAAAATATATCACTTGGACAATATTTGTTCCAAATTTTATGCATCTGTCATATTGTGTAAGATTTTTTAATTATATATATATAGATATATAATTATATATACATAGACTCGGAGTTAGTAGTGGAAGGGCTAACCCACACATACATACACTTCAAGTGTTAAAATTAAAAAAAATACAAATAAATTACTAAGATAAACGCTAATGAAGAATAAACTCACATTACGATAACTGGAACAGGTGAGACATCACTCGCTTCCTGGAACCCAAACATCAGACGACGTTTCTGGCCTAAATGTCACTTAAAGTCTCCTCCAGAATGATTGGTAGCACCTAGAACAGCCTTCTGGATGTATGATTTGAAGAAACATGGAACGTAAGTCAAAAATAATTTTAATAGTGTGAGAGAGCCTTTCATTCCTGGCTTTCCAAAGGATAATGGAAACGTCATTTACACCTTGGTTTACCACAGGGGTGGGGTGAGGATTACCACAGGGGTGGAGTGGTTGGTAGATTGCCACAAGGGTGGTGTGGGCGGAGGTAAATAACTCATTCGTTTATTCCGCTGAAAAGTAAACGATTATTTATGAGAAGTGGGAGAGAAAGAGGGTCAGAGGTGTGTGTGTGTGTGTGTACTCACCTAATTGTGGTTGCAGGGGTCGAGACACAGCTCCTGGCTCCGCCTCTTCACTGGTCGCTACTAGGTCCTCTCTCTCTGCTTCCAGATCTTTGTCATACCTCGTCTTAAAGCTATGTATGGTTCCTTCCTCCACTACATCACTTGTTAGGCTATTCCACTTCCTGACGACTCTATGACTGAAGAAATACTTCCCAACATCCCTATGACTCGTCTGAGCCTTCAGCTTCCCCTCTCTGGGACAACCTCTGTCTACCTTATCTATTCCACGCAGTATTATGTATGTCGTTATCATGTCTCCCCTGACCCGCCTGTCCTCCAATGTCGTCAGTCCGATTTCCCTCAACCTTTCTTCGCAGGACATACCCCTGAGCTCCGGAACTAGTCTTGTTGCAAACCTTTGCACTTTCTATAATTTCTGGACGTGTTTGACCAGGTGTGGGTTCCAAACTGGTGCTGCATACTCCAGTATGGGTCTGATGTACACAGTGTACAGTGTCTTGAACGATTCCTTACTAAGGTATCGGAACGCTATTCTCAGGTTTGCCAGGTGCCCGTATGCTGCAGCAGTTATCTGGTTGATGTGTGCCTCCGGGGATATGCTCGGTGTTATGGTCACCCCAAGATCTTTCTCCTTGAGCGAAGTTTGCAGTCCTTGGCCATCTAGTCTATACTCTGTCTGCGGTCTTCTTTGCCCTTCTCCGATCTTCATGACTTTGCACTTGGCAGGGTTGAATTCAAGAAGCCAGTTGCTGGACCACGTGTCCAGCCTGTCTAGGTCTCTTTGAAGTCCTGCCTGGTCCTCATCTGATTTAATTCTCCTCATTAACTTCACATCATCTGTGTGTGTGTGTGTGTGTGTGTGTGTGTGTGTGTGTGTGTGTGTGTGTGTGTGTGTGTGTGTGTGTGGTGTGTGTGTGTGTGTGTGCGTGTGTGCGTGTGTGTGTGCACTCGCCTATTTATGGTTGTAGGGAGTCTATTTATGGTTCAATTGGTGCTACACAGTACCACCACTATCACTACCACCATCACCGCCGCAAACATCATCACTATCATCATCACCTCTATTACCACTACAGTCCATCAATATTTTCTGTCTTACCTCACCCCACCACTGCCTCCAGCAGCATCAGCAACGCCCCACTACTACCTCCAGCAGCAACACCCCACCACTACCTCCAGCAGCAACACCCCATCACTGCCTCCAACAGCTATACCCCACCATTGCCTCCAACAGCAGTACCCCACCACTGCCTCCAACAGCAACATTCCACCACTGCCTCCAGCAGTAATACCCCACCACTGCCCCAGCAGTAACAGCAACACCCCCAACACCGTGTCCAACAGCAATACCCCACCACTGCCTCCAACAGCAACAGCAACACCCCACCACTGCCTCCAGCAACAACACCCACAACATAACACTAAGCCAAAAAAACACCTAAAGCAGCAAACACCCCCAACATAACACTAAACCAAAACACACCTAAGCAACAACACCCACAACATAACACTAAGCCAAAACAAACCTAAAAGCGCAACACCCCCAACATAACACTAAACCAAAACACACCTAAAGCCCGCAAACACCCAAACTAACACTAAACCAAAAAAACACCTAAAGCAACAAACACCCCAAAATACACTAAACCAAAACACACCTAAAGCAACAACACCCACAACATAACACTAAACCAAAACACACCTAAAGCACACACACACAGAATACACAACTCGTAAACACACTTACGAATGACAGTGGAAAACTCCAGTTTATTCCAGACGGCAAAATTTTTGGGCAAATCTCCAACTACATTTGAGTAAAACTAATGGATTTCATGATGTCGTTTAGGAACAAAAGTTTGTGGCAGATGGCTAAAATGTTTTGAAGATCACCAGACGACCAGTTAAGAGATGTAATTTCTGGAAAAATTTACTGAGTGAAGAGTAATAATAATTATTATTATTACTTTAATATAATAATTATTTTACCACTACTACTAATTATTATTATTTTAATATAATAATTATTTTAATAATACTACCACTAATTATTATTATTATTATTATTATTATTATTATTATTATTTTTTATTATTATTATTATTATTATTATTTTTTTTTTATTTTAATAATAATAATTGTTTTTTTTAAATTTTAAATTTTTTTAAAAATTCTATTAATAATATTAATTTCAATGTAATTATTTCAATTAATAATAGTTGTTTTCTGCTATTGTTGCTGTTGTTGGTTTGTGATGTTGTTACTACTACTACTATACTACTACTACTACTACTACTACTACTACTACTACTACTACTACTACTACTACCACTTCTACCCAGAGGAGTCATACAACACAAGTCAAATGGGAGGTGATCATGTTGATCCGAGGAAAGGGAGGATACCTTCAATTGCTTTCATCAAGAACTCTTCAGCAGCATCAAGGACACGACACGAAAACTTTATATTCTTGTTCCCCTTTTTTCCCATGTTTAGTTCCTAAACAATAATGTTTGTATTTCTCATATTTTGTTTCTTTTTTGCTTTATTGCGTGCTTTCTCTGTTTTCCCCTTTCCTTCTCTGTTTCTATTCCTGTATTTTTGACGTTTTTCTCCTTCGCTTGTTTGAGGGACTAATCAAATAATTAGGTGACCACAACACGACTTGTAGTCTGGTTTCAATTTACTGATGAATAAGAGACAGAATCACAGCTACAAATCTCTGGATGTTTTCCCTTCTAGCCCCGTTGGACCTGCCATACCTATTCTTAAAACTATGAATGGATTCTCACCTCATGTTCATCCAGGTCATGCCACTTCCTGACCATCCTGAAATTAAAAGAGTAACTCATAGGCAGTATTTGTCCTTCTCACTTTTAACCATCATCAAAAGGACACAGAAAAAGCAGAGCGCTGCTAAGGTGGTCGTATCACACTCGCTCTGGTAATATATATGTAAATTTTTTTGTCCCTGAGGTAAATGATGCAAATAAAGATTGGTCGAGTTAAACTCTTTATCGTGGCCGTATTGAGCCTCATGGAAAAAAATAATTCATATTCCTAATCTTCATAGAAGAACAACAGTCGCATTAAATTAACTGTATACAATACCGATTAGTAAGTGAATATGACGCTATGGCAGCTGAAGAGTTTCTGTCAAGAGTGAGAGATTGAAAACTTCAATTTCTTCTTCAATTGTCTTTATTACTGTATATTAGACACCTCTTTATTCGATTGAAGAGAGTTTCTACGCAGACGAAACGTATCGACAATAATGATATCAAAGTATAGCTTATATGTCTTACTCATCTATCAAGAATAAAAATCACAATATCGTGGCTGGAACAAATCACTATTAACCAATAATTTGCAAAAGGAGCCTTTTGATGTCGTTTTGGTCCGTGCTGGAACATTATCGAGTCACGACATCATCAGGGTGGACCAGGACGAACCGATTTATAGCTTTTTGTGACTGCTCACCTATCACCTTTGTGGAGTGGGGCTATATCCGTGCTTTTTAATGACTGTGGGATGACTCCTGTGTCCATACTCCATCACCATAAAATATTTAAGGCATGAATTAGTCGTATCTTTCAATTCAAGACGAATGAGGAGTATACAAATAACCCGCACATAAAAGATAGAAGCTTACGACGACGTTTCGGTCCGACTTGGACCATTGACAAAGTCACACTAACCAGAGGTGGAGCAGGACGGCTATATATAGGCAGGAAGAGGTGGTGGTAGTAGTAGTAGTAGTAGTAGTAGTAGTAGTAGTAGTAGTAGTAGTAGTAGTAGTAGTAGTAGTAGTACAAGAGTTGTATATAATACCGACAAGATGAAATTAAGACACATGCACAACACCCGGGCATTGACTTTGTCTATGGTCCAAGTCGGACCGAAACGTCGTCGTAAGCTTCTCTCTTTTATGTGCGGGTTATTTGTGTATCGTTCCAGTCACGGTATTGTGCTTTTTTGTTACGAATGAGGAGTTCCGATAAGTTTTAGCCTGAGGCAAAGTCTTTAAACTTCCACCCCCAAGTTGTGAGACATCAGTGAACGGATTTTTAAATGTTTTACTGTTTGTCGCAAATGTACATATTCGGAATGCCTTTGTTGATATTTGTTAGGTACGTCGCCACTTTCTGTACGGCTGTTCCACTACTTGGATACTAGAACAAAACTTGTTCTCGTACAGGTAGTGAGAGAACTACCAGCATGTGTATGCTGATGGAACACATGTATCCAAAAGTCATTCAGTCTATCATGTGTCGTACTTAGTATCACACTTATGTATTATACAGAAAAATGTTATATTATACAATCTTTGATTCGGATAATTTAGAGGAAATAAAGTACTGATGTCAAGGATGAAAACAGACATAATACACAGAGCAAAGCTTTGTTCTGTGCTGACTGTAGACAATAATCAATTTATGTTTCGCTGTGTGTAGAGCTTTTATCAAATTATGCGTTACTCTGTGTAGAGCTTTTTTTAAGTTATGGTTCTCTCTGTGTAGAGCTTTATCAAGTCACAGCTGGTAAAGCTCTACTTATAACGAAACAATTACCCTTCAAAGCTTATCCAGGAGTGCCTGTCCTTGCTTTCATACTGAGAGCTCCTTGCAGTTCTGATTATGCTCTCCATACATTGTTATCCAAGGTTTTGCTTCTTTGTACATCTTAATGCAAAAATAAATGAAAAATTTATAAATCAATCATTTGCATAAATTGTTACTTGCACATGATGGTCCAACGAAAAGCAAAAGAATTCATTAAACCTTTATATAAAAAAAAATCATAGTCCTTAGAAATTCGTGAAAGGAAGCGGGTTCCTTATGTC